GAATTCGATCATCCGTAGAACCTACTATTCATCCCAACTTGTAATTGTCGAAAAAGCTAAAAGTATGCTTCACTTCAAACCTCAAAAGTGCACACCAATTTTGTGTGTGTGTGTGTGGACATACATACATAGGGAGGAGCAATTGTGCTTTGCATGTGAGAGAGCATATCCCAAAATGGTTGAATTGAATTTTTGATTTTCCCGTCGATTGATTGGACCGAAGTGCTCGGTCTCAGGTTGACATGTCGGCTTCCTGTGCAGATGCTACGACGATGTCTGGGGATTTGATTTGTATACAATTGGTGGATGGTGGCTAGCAGTGGAATCCAGGATGCCCATTTCGTCCTAATTCGGACTCGTCAGCTGGATGTACCTGCATTTCTCAGTGAGTGATGATGTTCCCACCGAGGCTCGAACCCAGTGCCCATAGTTTCAAACGCCAAAGCGTTATCCACTAGACCACTTGGGCCACGAATCAAATCCTCAGACATCGTCGAAGCATCTGCACAAGAAGCCGACATGTCAACCTGAGACCGAGCACTTCAGTCCAATCAATCGACGGGAAAATCAAAAATTCAATTCAATAATTAATATGACCCGTTGCACAAGAGGTGGCTCTCGTGGCCCAAGTGGTCTAGTGGATAACGCTTTGGCGTTTGAAACTATGGGCACTGGGTTCGAGCCTCGGTGGGAACATCATCACTCACTGAGAAATGCAGGTACATCCAGCTGACGAGTCCGAATTAGGACGAAATGGGCATCCTGGATTCCACTGCTAGCCACCATCCACCAATCGTATCCCAAAATGGTTAGAAAAACAGAAGAATTGTGAAAAACCAATAGACTCAGGTGTCAGACAACGAACTTTGTCTATAGCTAAACATCTAATCGAGATAAACTATGAGACTGATGTTAACCCAGCCTTTAAAGTCATCTATAAAAATGATTAAGGTCGCTTACTGAAATACGCTGAAGCTATAGCTATTGATAAACTTAAGCCTCCTCCTCCCTGTGTATTCAAAAACAGTTTGTTATTACTCTTAACCTACCTACCTTGGCAATCCTTATTTGATTGGATTGTCGAACGTTTGTGTTAATTATTCCTAATTCTTTTTTGTCACTTTGTTTAATTCAACTTTTCCACATATATATCGACATAACAAGTAAATGTGTGAGGGATCAGATTGTTCGAAATGTATAGCGCAAATACATCACATCACACTGTGATTTATGCGTTTAGAAAGGAGCTATTATCAGCCTTTTGAATGTCCTGATAACTGGATATTTTCACCTTTTCTCTCTCTCACCTCATTACGTAATGCCTAAAGTTTATTATTATTAGCACTGTGTGCATCTATTGAGCGAATGATTTTTGTTTAAAAATGAACTCTACGCAAGTATGTTAAAATCGTTTCTGTAGATAAACTTGGTTATGTGTTTGGGCCGGTAGGCAAATGATGAGAAGCCAATGAAATAAGCAATGACAGTGTCATTTTGTTCTGGAAAAGTTGTTGTTCTTGCTTTGTTCAAATTACTATTATTATTATCATCATCAGTATTATTCATTTAAGATATTTGAATTCTTAGCATATTTGCTAGTGAAGTCATAGGCATGTGGGATGTTATACGCTCATACCTGCATACATGTATATATACATTCACTGTATAAAATATATACTGGTAACACAAAAATTTCAATTACTTCATCATTAGTTTTCCGACGTTACTTTGTAGTGTCATTATGCTATGCATCATTGTACCAAAATAGTATACCTTCTATTATTAGTAAAACATTCCAAGCATAACTGATCGAGCAACGAATATGTGTAGTTGAATAGATAGATAGATAGATAGATCAGGGATACACAGATATATAAGTAGATATTAATTATGGAAGATTTTCTCCACTCTCTACTTAATAGTATCAATGGGATTCAAGCAGACTGATAATATGGACTTGATATAAATAGTAGGATAATGCCCACAGGAACCAGTAGTGTATTTGCTAGCCAGTTCTGAGTGATCTGAAGACTTGACGCTAACTGCGATCTCTTCAAATGATGACTTCTTATCTGGAATTGGGTAATTTGCAGATATCAAATTTGATTCTACACAGTACTTCTTTTACTGAGTAGGTAGTTGATAGAATTTGGGTGATTCCAAATGATCCGACTCTTTGAGCTGAGTGAATTTAGATGGATCATTGTTAAGGTTGTTGGAAAGCGAGGGAAATGACACTTGTATGTCTAGATCACCTGGCTCTGCCTACCATAGAACTTCTTAGTGACCTGAGTGTTTATAAACTATTAAAATCAATTATTAAGTAGTATATAGTAGGACAACAGTGTCGTCAATGCAGTCATATTAACCTGTTCATTAGATATATCACACAGTCTGTGAAATAGTGTTACTGGTTATTAATATATGCGTACAACTTGGGCACTGTGGTAGTAAGTAATTCCATATTAGTTTGTTAATTAGATGTATCACACAGTGAGACAGTATTGCTATTTACTGGATGACGTTTCGAACAAAATTTATTGTTCATAATCATATCAAATGTAACCACACGACATTGAAACTTGAGTTTTATAGTTTTCTTTGTCTTTTCCTATTTATCGTAGGGGTAGTAGAATTTTCCAGATATCGGGTGGACAGGTGTTGAATCATTCCTATTACATGTATTTGCAGTTGATTCGATAAACAAAGCTTCTGCTGTTATCATTCTCTCCCTCCACCCTGTGACATTAGATTTTAAAACTGTCATCCTATCCCATCCTATTGTATGATTGTGTGTAACTGCATGTAATACTATGGCTGAACTATTCTTTAGATTTCTTATCTTCTTCGGGTCAACGAATCTAGATTTGGCTTTGGTTTTTATGCCCTACTAGTCTGACTGCCGCTTTTCTACTACTTTGACCTATGTAGCTGTCCTGACAATCATTGCAGGAAGGGTTTTAGATAAACTTAATTCTTTTGCTTCATTGGGTCCATAGTAATCTGGAGAATAGTTCAGCTATACCACTCACTACATGCAATTATACACAAACACACAACAGAATGGGATAAGATGACAGTTGTGAAATCAAATATAACAGGATGGAAGAAGAAATTGATAACACAGGCTGTCAAGGAACTTAACCCTAAGTTCCTATTATTTGTTAAGACGCTCCGAACCGATAATTACTATATCCGTTTCTCGACTTTAACTCCAAAACACCAGTACTTTAAGAAAATTCTATTGTTTGGCAATTAAAGTCTAAATAAGTACAAGTCTATAAACAAATGTTTACGCTAAATATAATGTTTTTTTATTCGTATTCTTTCGTCTTCTTCCAACTTGTACACGACTGAACCATTCGCGCTTTCGAGTTGCCCGCCAGTGGCTACCAGTTCCAATAAACAAACGTTCAATGTTCACGTCCATTGACAGAGGCTCTTTTTATCGAATCAACTGGAATTACATGCAGTAGGAATGACTGAATACTTGTCAACGTTCCCCGGACATCTGGAAACTTCCACTTCCCCTATGATAAATAGGAAACAATAAAGAAAACTATAAAGCTCAAGTTTCGAAGTAATTCGACTATAAGTGAAATGACTACGAACAGTATTTTGTGTTCGAAACGTCATCCAGTAAATAATAATACTGTTTCACACTGTGTGTGGTACATCTAATCAACAAATTAATATGGAATTACATACTCCCACAGTGCTCAAGTTCTACATATACATAAGTTTCTTCTATAAGCCCTTCAAAGCTGTGTCTGTTTACCCATTACCAGAAACTAGTTGCTTAGATTTATGTGATGGAAAAATCCTATTTGTTATAGGCTACTCACTAATGATAATACTGAATGATTCATCGGAATGTTTCAGAAATTAAGGAGAAAATCAGGTACCTGACCTACTGAATTTTGCTACACCGACCTAATTGATATTATGATCATTTCTCATAATCCGATGCTTTTAGATTTGATCTCCACTCATGTTGTAATGGCGTTGTTACTGTATTAACCTGTTATATTCCTACCTACCTAATAATTATTCATCAAAAAATTGCACTTCTCTAACCGAAATGATATTTCTGTGCGTCATATGATTTCAAGTAGTGTCAAGCTATACTCCGGTTGTAGCTGTAGCATTTTGAAGAAACTCTTCAGAGACTGATTGACCTGACACGCACAAAATGTGATTCTTGTCGCTTATTGGATAAGCTGGTCAATAGTTTTAGTGTTTGTGAGAGGAGCACAGCATATGGCACACTGAAAACCAAGATTATTTAGGTGAAATAACTTGGATAGGACAGTATGGCGTCTCATCATACATCAGGCAATCAGTCATGTGGAACCCAAATAAGGAACGACAATTGGGTCGTTGGTGCGAGGGTAACATAGAGGAGGAGATGGGAGATTATCAGTAATCGTTGGCCCAGCCAAAGAAGACAACGGAGAATAGAACGAAGTGGAGATGTGTTATTGAAGCCCTATTTCCATTCGGAACCCAAGAAATTAATAGAGATTATATATTTCATTGGATCTATTGGGTTCTTCAGCTGACAAAGTTAACCTCTGAGAGAGATGGTTGGTTGGTTGGCATTGAATTGCCACCTTAATTCCAACCTCATTGAGAATCCTATATAGATCATCTGATCTTCCTTCTTTTTGAATGTGTCTTCGGATTCCATACTACTTGTATGATTTTCATCTCATAGTGTATATAAATTGCTTTTAGCACTGAAACTTCAAGGCATATATTCTACTTGGAGAGCAGGAAATGAGGGAAAAATGAAGTCGTACTTCGAATAACCTGGTGTTAAGCTGAATTTAAAATTAGATAATGAGGATGCGTTCGATCCCTGTACAGAAAGTATCAGTCTTTTCATAATAACAGGTATACATATTACTGGTAAATATAATCAAGTGTCAAAAACCGTTTTAACAAGATCATACAGATCAGTTAACTCCTTCTGAACATAAACTTCTTTATCCTTACAGGCTATGCAGACTGTGAATCGTACTCCAAATGCCAGTGTACAAGTGGATCTTTTAACACGATCACAATCAGAAGTAACTCAAACTGAACCAGAAATGGCATTAGATATATTGAATCAGTCAACTTTAATAGATGCCTCAGTGGAATCTGTTGAACAATCTGGAAATCATGAACAACACACTGACTCTTTTAGTAAGTCAGAAGTTTGTTTCTTCATTAATTTGGTACTTTTATGCTGAAAATCTTTCATTTTTTTAAAAACAGAAACTATCTATGAAGGCTCTTTTTTAGTTTACAGTAACGCAATAGTGTAAAAAGTCATCTTATCTTATCTGTTTCACTGACGTAATCTCCACTAATGTAATATGGATGATGCGTATACCATCATTGTGGAAAGAGAGCTGACTGCAAGCCGAAAATTGTAGACAGCAGTTTACATCAATGTTAAGATCTGAATCTGAGTCATGAGAAACAAACAGTAACAAAGCTCAACCTTGAGTAACTCATCAACCAATCACAGCAGACTTAACGTGTACAAATACGATTCGCTGGTAGATGGCTTAACTTTCTGAAAAACGGTCACAAGCAGCGTAGTATAACCTTCAGCAAGAAAACAAACAATCAGAAGAGAGTGCTTCTCCGTTGACAATAATGTGCATAAAAATCTATAAATACCACTTGATTTTCCCAATAAACTATCTGTTGCCTTGTCCTTGTCTTCTGTCGTTACATTATTATTATTATTATCTTGGATTCTAAGCGGAACATAAGGCTTCCGTAGCAGATCTCCACTCCACTCTACCTTTCTGCTGTCCTTTTCAGTTTGCTCCACGATTACTTACAAGCTTTGACTCCCCCCTCAACTATCTGACTCCCTCTTAAATCTTTGTTTCTTTTTCAAACACCACTCGACAGCCTACCTATTGCACGATGTCAGTGAACTTTATCGAATTAGTTTTCATTTACCATTCTGCATATTTAAATAAAGAACGAACAGATTTGCAGGATAATACGAGCTTGTTTTACTTTGTAGCTTTTCTTCAACTGCTTACATCCTGAACTAAATCAGCTCCAAGCTATAAAATTTCTGACCATCCTTATTCATAAAGTTACTTTGAGTTATAGGTAGAAAGTATCAGCAACGTCATCCTTATTCATCGTCAAAAGAGTAACTATTGGTAGAATAATTAGACAAGAGACACCAGACATATAGGGGAAATTAGTCAGGCTTTCAAAATATTCAACACACAAAGAAAACCATAGTTACTTCGGTTCTCAAAAGCCAATGGTATCAAAAAGAGCCTTGGATCCAACCTCTGTATGATGAAAGATACCTTGACTAATCTCCCACTACTATGGTAATCGTAATTGGTTTGTTCGTGTGCCTTTGTATTTTGTTCTGTAATTTGTCTGTAGTCCATCCTTGTTTCGATAGCCAAATCTAGACTCCACTTTCCTGTCTAATCATTCTATTAATAGTTACTGTTTTAACACTAAATAATTGTCTACTTACATCATCTTTGGAATTCTGTTGCTTATACTTTCTATCTATAAATCGAAATCACTATGAAAAAGTATGGTCAGAAGTGTTTTGATAATTTAATAATTCCCATTGTAGCATTAAGAACACAATATTCAGCAAAGAGACTCTTTTCAACAACGAATTTATTATCAAGCTGTACAATCGTATATACATATGGTTTTATAAAGAAATTATATCCGGTGAGGGAATTAGGTCAAAGGTGTAAATACATGAAATAATAATAGTAGTATGAAATGCAATTAAAATATTTGTGACTACAATCAAAGTTCAAGTGGCAAAACAATTAATGTCACATATTTAAAAGACTTCATAAGATGTATAGATTCAAAGTCAATTTGAACGAAGAATATTCTTTTCAATAATTTCTCTTCAGGTTCTTAAAATTATAAAATATAATATTTGTTTGAAAGCGCTGTATAATTATAAGATTAGTAGACGAATATAAAAAGTTACATAACAAGGTGTGAAATTCGACAAGATAAAGTTCAATATTTTAAAACAAATTTTGGATTTAGAATGACAAATGGAAACAATTCAAAGTGAGAATAGTAATAATAATATTAATAGTCGTAGTAATAGGGGCAGTGTACATACATTAACTAAATAAATAAATGTCTGTCCGTATACGGCCAAGACAGAATTAGGGATTTTACATACTTCTTTTGTACACAAAGGTGTGTCTGGCTTAAATTCATGAGTTGCCAAGGCCTCAGCTGTTTTTATAAGTCTGTAACGAAGAAAACGCGGGAAGTTAGCATGTATTCTACATATGATCTTGAAATCATGGTCAGGGTTGACCGAGTGACAGAAGTCGATTAGGTGTTCTAGAATAGAGCTTCGCACACACTTCCTATCTCCCTTGTAAAGCCATGCTGCTTGAATATGTTCTCGTATCCGAGTGGAAAGCCTCCTTTGACTACAGCCAATGTACCCTGCTCCAAAAGATGCACATGGAGGCGGCCAGACGGGGGAGCTTTTCTTTTACAGGGGTAGGGAACAATTTACGGCTCGTGAACGTCAGTAGTGTTTAAACTTATAATTGATTTTTTTTAGGTTGTAGGTAGTTGAAGAGAATCTGTGAATGAAAACGAGCCCGTATTATGCTGCGAATCTGTTCATCCTTTATTTATTCATCAAACTAACAAAGAAAGTCGCTTGTATAAGAATTTCCGCGTATTTTTTGGGAGTTAGCTTCTTGCCTTATTGATGACCACAATTACTTCTTCCTTATCTTTTCTAGACACCTAATCTTCAGTATGCAGCCAAAGAAGGCAGTCTTCAGTGAACTGTTTAAAATGTTTTTGACGAAAAACTCATAAATTGCCTGACTTATATAGAAACACTGATTAACTTGATATCAATGTTGAAGAAGACATGAAAAGGCCAACTAACTGTCTTTGATCATAGGCGCCTGCGTTCTATCTCCCGTGTTTAGTCATATAATAATGTGAGAAATATTGAGGTGAGGCTTCCGTCGAGTGCCAGGTAAGAAGGGGCAATCGGTCGATGAGGTTGTGAAGCTATATCGATTCAGGCGTTCAGGATGTGTGTCACGCATGCCTAGCCATCGTCTTTCTAGACTGCCAATGTTAGCTGACTGACAAAGGATCAGGTTGGAAAAGAGCTAGTGGTGGTTTTGGTCGTGGTGGAACCAAAACATGACTTCATCAGTCAATGAAATTCATAACAGTGAGTTTAAGCTGGCCACGTAGGGAGGTGTAGACAAGATTTTTGGTTGGGGTCCTCGGGATGATAAAAACCAATGGCTGGAGACGATATGCCTCAAGATCCTCGATGCTAATGGAGCAGATTCATTAACTCTTTGTGATTCGCTAGTCATATCCAATGAGACTCTATTGTTCTTTGATCTTTCTACACATTTAGCCTCGTATTTCCTTTTATTACCTCTCTCTCTTTTAAATCTCTACCTAATCTCCTCTCTTGCCTTTTGTGGTACATGGAGGAAGTGTGGCAACTAGACCTGGTGCACATATGTGCAAAGTTTTATATTTTAACCAGTCAGTCAGTCAGTATTAGTTCCATTATGGGTAAATTTTGTTTTGATAAAGTCTCACAGTGTTATACAGTAATGTTTACTGATGACGTTTCGAGAACAATTAATCATACCTTGATTTGATAATAATAGAATTACACTCTACTACAGTGTACAAGTTTTATTCTTATATCAATGATACATATGGTCTTCCTACTAGGAAGCTTATCAACAAACTCACAAGACTTAGTCAAGCTGAAGCAAGATTCACAAATCATCAGATTTTTAACAGTTGATGCTTAAAAAATTATACATAATTCCGAAATATTTACGTCTACGTACTCCAATTACTTCAAGCAAAATAACATCGGCAGCGGAACATGTGAGTAGATTATGTCTAAGAGAAGAACTACATCGAGTTACTGTGAAACTAAATAATATAATGAAATCAAATTGAAAAACTCAAACATAAACTCAAATATATGTTCAATGACAAAGATTATATAATTGTAATTGTTGCTGAAACATCCAAAAAAGCTAGAGAATCAGCATTAAGAAAATCAAAATTCACACAAATCAAAAAATTCAACAAACTAATTAAAGAAAAGAACACAACAGATGAAATTGATGTCAACTCTTCATCCTCTATCGACAAAACAAAGTGGGTGATTAACCTCTTATCTAGGGAGCTAAGCTCTAGTGAGAAAAAAGTACTTGAGAAAGGACTAAATTTCAACGTAACAGTTAATAAATTAAAACCAGAGGATGTCATTCCTAACATAGAAGTAGCACTAAGCTCAGTAGATAAGACGACAGAAGAAGAGGTTCAAGCACAATGTCCATTAACCCTGAAAAACCAAAAAAAACCAAATCTAAAACAAGATAAGACATCGTCATTGCAAAAGCTGGCAAAGGAAACTTGACAGCAGTCAGTATTAGTGTTGAAAATACAAACTTACTTCATTATGATGAATTCAGTAGATTTCTACACTGATATCAGAATAATAGAGGTCTGCTTTGCTTTCCGTGTCTACTTCGGCTGGCTCTAAAATCTTCATCTGTCCCGCTTGTAGTTGAAATGATGCTTTCAAGGTAAGTGAAAGGAGTGACAACCTTCAAAATGTGATATGTAGCTACGTGAAACAACTAGATTTGCATTCCAATTGCCTAATCACTAAATCGACTGTTGAAAAAACTGGATGAAACGCTCGCGTTCTTCTCATTCACTGTACCCCGTACAATATCGACATGAAAAAGATAAAGTCAAGATTGTTTTCATGATTATGTGCAACTGCCCCCCCCCCCAAATGAGTAATTGTACATACTACTGAATAGCCATCAGTAGCCTATTAAAGTATATAATGAAATTTTGGAATTAATAATAAGCTGTTTGTGGGTCATTTCCAAATAGCTGTCTGTTAAGCGAGGTAGTATTTTTGTTACTTTGAGTATCTAAGCTAGAATTATTTATTATTATTTTATCTGAACGCAGAAACAAAACTTGGTACATTATGGCACCAAGAAAGATGCGCAACACAATAATCATAAAACAACATACGTTAAAAGTAAAAAAATATAAGTAGAGAACTGATAAAGAACTTCACCTGTAAGGGAGACAGTCATGCTTAACAAGTTCAAAAAGTATTCGTCAACTAT